AGCTTTTGTATCTGAAGAAGTGTGCGTGCACATGAAAGCTTATGCCTTGAATAAAACTTTGTTGATCTTATAGGTGCCACTGGGCTCAAACTTTGTTCCGAGGGACAGGTGTGTTTCAAGACGTCACCTGCAGTTAAGATTCCAGAGAGATCAAGCCTAAAAGGATTATTGTGGCACCTTCTAAAACTAACATGTCATTAGTGTAGCTTATGCTGTTGCATGGAGTATTCCCCCCCCCCCGAATTGTGGGAGGGGGAAATTTGGAATCCACCCCTCCAAATGTTCTCCTCCAGGATCGTGTAGGATCTCAGGGTTGATTTTGCCTTCCTCTCAGAGGTTTGCATTTTGTGTGCAAGCTGATCTTCTCTCCCTCCTCTCCCCCCCTTAACTTAGTTGTTCTTAAGTTTTCACATCAGCTGAAGCACACTCAGCCCTGATTCAGACTTTGGGTGGTGGTGGTGGGGTTCTCTGTCTTTGTTAATGGATAAAGTCATATCCTTCTGCACACCAGGAAATCCCCCTGCTTTGCCTGGTTTTGCTGGTTCAGTGAAGCTGATTTAACACACACACACACATACCCCGAAGTACACAGGAACCCAATATTACACATGAGCCCAAATAGGATGACATCGAGCTCCCTGATAAATTCATAGTGCATCAATTTAATGTAAACTTCTCCCTTTGTGGAGCAGTGAATTTTAGGTCAAGGACGGACACAGAAAAGGTGGCGTCCATAAACCAGTGGGAGAACATTGCAGGCTCCCAGGATCCTTTGCTGCTGACCAAAAGGACACCATTCATCATCAAAGGAATTTCAAAGGGCAACTCCAGTGTGAAACTGCTGAATTGGAATTCATCAGGAAGCTTGATGCTCCATGAAAACGTCATGCCAGTTTTTCAGACGCCGCAAGACTCTTCCTTCAGTCCAAATGATGAGGCCTTCAAGGCTCAGCTTGTGTAAGCTGAGTGTATGTCCAAGCATGGTTCCCAGAATCCTTTGCTATCCAAACAGTGGAAAGGAAAGTGGCTTTCACCATCCACTACTCAAATGCTCAACACATCCTTGTTGAATTTTAAACCCTTGTTTCTGCAGCCTCCTGCTCACTCTGTTCTGAAAAGCTTCCAGTCCACCCCACTGGGACTTTTCAACATCTAATGGAAGCAGGATCACAAAATTTGTTCAGGAATTGAAATTTCAAAAGCTTGGCCAAGCCCTGGCCAGGTGGGCAGAGAGAGTTTGGGTGAGATTTCTTGGTCCAGGATAAGTCCTGTACCATAACATCTCTCCTCAGCTGACCATCCTGAGATGAAGCCAACTACAATCTGAACACACAACCAGCCAGATACCAGATTATGAGCCTATTTGCTTTGGAAAGGCTGTGGATAAGTAGTACGGTGTACACTATGCACATGGAAGGTCCCTGGTTCATTAGAAAAGGGATCCTAGGCCCTAGAGAGGCACTGCCAGAGAGATGGGGTGGCTGAGTACCTGCTTTGTATTCCAGAAGTTCTAGGTTTCAGAAGATAAGAGCCCTGCTGGACTCAGACCAGTGGTCCATCTAGCTCAGCATCCCATCTCACACAGTGGCCAACCAGCTGCTTTGAAGGACCAACAACAGGACACAGAGGACAAGAGATGTACCTGATGGTACTGGTATTCAGAGGTGGACTGCCTCTGAATGGGGAAGTTCCATTCAGTCACCATCAGTGTTCCCTCTAAGCTGAGTTAGCGTGAGCTAGCTCACAGGTTTTTAGCCTCTGGCTCACACATTCTTGTCTTAGCTCAAGAAGGAGGGCTCCAGAGCAAACTAATTTATGCAGTAGCCAAATCGCTCACTCACAACTTAAATGCCAGTAGCTCACAAGGTAGAATTTTTGCTCACAAGACTCCACAGCTTAGAGGGAACATTGGTCACCATGGCTAGTAGCCACCAGTGGATCTCTCCTCCATGAGTCTGTCTAACCCACTTTTAAAGCTATCTCTGCTTGAGTGGCCATCAGTACCTCCACTGGCAGAGAATCCCACAATTTAATTACTCACTGTGTAAAGGAGTATTTCGTTTTGTCAGTCTCTGGCGTCACCATTTAAAATTATTTCATGGAGCTAGTGTAGGAAACACACCAGAAAAGTGGGGGAAACCCCAACCCAAAAACAGAATTATGTACGAAGGAGGTTGGACAGAAACAATATAAAAATGAAAGAAACGAATAAACCAGTTTATTGTATAGTGCACTTAAGATACACAATTAAAAACATACCCCTTACATTTGGCCTCTAGAAGGAAAGCCACTGGACTAAGCAGTCCTCAAAGTACAATTTATAGAACGACTGAACATCCCAGAGTTGGTGATATACAAACAAGACCAGAATCACAATGAACAAGACCGAGTGCACTGTATAATAAATGGATTTATTGTGCGCCATTCATTTCCATATTGTTTCTGCAAGTGTAGGAAAGACACTTCTCTTCATGACACCCCGAGAGGAAAAATCCTTCTCTGGCATGGCAGATACCTGACAGAGCCCCTCCCGTTCAGAGCAGACCAGAGTGAACTAGATGGATGAATGTACAAATTAGCTTTGGGTAAACAGACCTGGCCATAAACCACAGGTAGGGTACCAGCTTTGCATGTGGATGGCTCCATGTTCAACCCCTGGAGTCTCCCCTTAATCTTTCTCTGCCCAAGACCCTGGATAGCATTTGCCAGTCAGAGGAGGCAACGCCCAGCTAGAGGGCCAATCATCCTATTCAATATTATGTACTTAAGTGCTGTCAAGTCACAAGTGATTTATGGACACTCCAGCAAGGGGCTTTCTAGGCAAATGAGGAGCAGGTGTGGTTTGCCATGGCCTTGCTCTGCAGAGTTTTCCTGGATGGTCCCCCACCCAAGTACCGACCCTACTTAGCTTCCGAGACGTGTCAAAATTGGGCTACACTGTGCCACTTTCCCTCCCCCTATTCAGTATTAGAGGAGCTGTGGTGGCTCAAGTGGTTAAGATGCTGAACTGCAGGCTGTGGAAGGTTGGTAGTTCAGCAGTTCGAGACCCGAGTGTGCCGCATGATAGAGTGAGCTCCCGTCTCTAGTTCCAGCTCCTGCCAACCTAGCAGTTCGAAAGCAAGAAATTGCAAGTAGATAAATAGGGACCACTTCGGTGGGAAGGTAACAGCGTTCCGTGCGCCTCGGTGTTTAGTCATGCCGGCCACATGACCACGGAAAATGTCTTCGGACAGCGCCGGCTCTTCGACTTTGAAACGGAGACGAGCACCGCAACCCTAGAGTCGGACTCGACTGGCTTTCGAGCAAGGGGACCTTTACCTTTTATTCAGTATTAGACTGTTTCATGAATGAACGTCACAGGGAGACGAGGGGGAAACAGTTCTTCAAATCGACTTCCCTCCTTGAGTTCTAGCCAAACATTTCCCCAACTGTCGAAGCTTTTAGATTCCTCTGTTAACCTTTTTTTAAAAAATAAAGTGCCGAAATAGGCTGGGTGCTGTTCAAGGACCTTGCTTACAGACTTAAGGTCTAGTAAAGGGAAAGGCATTGGAGCGAGAGAAGGAAAAAAGGAGAGGAGACAAAGTAGATTTTCCAGGAGCTGCTGGAAGACGGAAGGTGCCATATCCCGGCAATAGGCAGGAAACAAGGGCCCTTTCTGTGTTCAGCCTTTACTCCAGAGTTTCCCAGCCCTCGAGCTGGCACGCCTTTGATTTGTCTTTCTTGCTTTCTTTTCTGCATGTGTTAGTTTTCAGTGGATGTTGGTACCAGAAACTCCATTCTATATGGATTATTCTTACTGTGGTTTCCTGACTGAAAAAGTGTGACAGCACAATGTTTGTGGCCATGCAAGAAAGGTTTGCATGGACTAGCAGCAAGAAAAAGTTGTTTCTCTTCCTTTCTGCAGAGTTCATCTAAAGGAGGAGGAGGAGGAGGAGATTGGATGTATACCCCGCCCTTCACTTGGAGTCTCAGAGCGGCTCACAAACTCCTTTTCCCTTCCCCCTCCCCACAACAGACACCCTGTGAGGTAGGTGGGGCTGAGAGAACTCTGACACAAACTGCTCTTTTCCAAGGACAGCTGTGCCAGAGCTTGTGACAGACCCAAGGTCACATCAGCAGGTGCAAGCGGAGGAGTGGGGAATCAAACCCGGCTCTACCAGAATAGAGTCCGCACACTTAACCACTACACCAAACAACTGTGATTGTTAAACGTTTGACCCAGCAGCCAATCTGTTCACGTGCGAATTATCGTCTGGGAAAAACCAAGGGAAGGCAATCCTCCTTGGGAAATTGCAGTTCTTAAGATTAGAATTTTACCCAATAAAATTATAATAATGCATCTGAGTAGAACTTTATTTGATTCAAAAAGCAACAGGAAAAAAACCTGGATGGGCAAGTTCACGGCGTCAAATGACACATATAGTAAGCAAATGAAGTATAGGACAGTGCCACCTCCTGTTCTACTATTATCATCAAGGCGTTTATACTCCTCCTGCAAACGGTCAGAGGGCAGAAACAGGGGAGGGGAAGTGGGCGGCATTTAAAGGCAGGCAGAAACACTTCTACTTTAGCATTCTGAAATCGGATCAGAGCTAAGAAAGGCAGCAAAACAAGTTTTGAGAAAAGCGGGACGAAAGCGTGCCGAAAGCGGTCTGACTATTGATTCCTGTTGAGACAGATGCAGAAACAACAACAGAAACCCTGCAACAAACCTGAAGTGAAAGCAGGATGGAATGCAGAAGAGAAGGATGTGCTCCGAATTCATGGCTAAATACAAACGCAGAAAGGGCCAAGGACAGAGACACTCCCTGAAGAATCCCAGAATGCAAGGAACGAGAGCCAGAAGCTCAAACTGAACAGAACTATCAAGAGACAACGGAAGGAATGTATCAACCAGTCTCAATGGGGCACATTCTAGCACTGTGTTAAGGAATGTGCCTTGGCGCAACCCCGTTTTTCAAGACTGGGATGGGACTAGGAATAGTGCCCCCCCCCCCTTCCAGAGGCAAAGCTGGCCCCCTCGGACGCCTTTGCTGGTAGTTCGCAAGAGCTGGGAGGAGGAGAACATCTGGATCAAAGGTGTCACATTGGAAATGATTCACCCCCCACCCTGGCACTCACTGGGTGGCACAACATCTAACACAACCTGCGTTTTAACTGAAATGTCTCACTTGGTCCACAGATTCAAATGTTTTCACTGCTCTCCTCAGTGGGTTCATTAATGGAGAAGAACGAAGATATGCACTTAATTTTTCCCCATAATACAGACATTCGTTTCTCTTCCCACCTTGTATCTTTGGCCTACTGAGACACTGCAAGTCACGAAAGGAAGTTCTCCACTAGTGTCAGCGTCTCTGTTTTCTTCTCACAGGAATGGGTCCTCTGATGTCTGATAAGGTTTGATCTCTGGCAGAAACCCTGCCCACAGTCTGTGCATCTATGTGGCTTCTCCCCTGTGTGGATTCTCTGGTGAACGATCAGATGTGCCCTCTGACTGAAACCCTGGCCGCACTCGGAACATTTATGCGGCTTCTCCCCTGTGTGGATTCTCTGGTGTACCACAAGGTGTGTTCTCTGACTGAAACTCTGGCCACAGTCCGAGCATGTATAGGGCTTCTCGCCTGTGTGGATTCGCTGGTGTCGGATGAGGTTGGATCTCTGACTGAAGCTCTGCCCACAGTGGATGCATTTATGGGGCTTCTCTCCCGTGTGGATTCTTTGATGAATGACCAGGTGTGCTTCCCATGCGAAGCTCTGCCCACAGTCTGAACATTTAAATGGCTTCTCTCTCATATGGACTTTCTGGTGAGCAATGAGGTTTTTCCTCCGATTAAACTTCTTCCCACAAATGGTACATTTATGAGGCTCCTCACCAGCGTGGATTTTCTGATGTCTGATGAAGTTTGATTGCCAGTTGAAAATTTTCCCACACTTCAGACATTCATATGGGTTTTCTCCTATACCAATTCTCTCGCATCTACTATGAATCAATCTCTGATGGATTCCTTCCCCATAATCTGAGTTTGTACACGATGTCTTCCCTTCTATATGCAACTTCTGATGTTTAATGAGGTGTGGGCTCTGACGAAAGCTCTTCCCACAGTCGGAACATTTGAAAGGTTTCTCCCCTGTGTGGATTCTTTGATGGCTAATGAGGTTAGTTCTCTGATTGAACCTTTTCCCACAGTCTAAGCATTTGTGTGGCTTCTCTCTAGTGTGGATGCTCTGATGTCTAAGAAGGTTCCCCCTTCTTGAAAACATTTTATCACACCTGAAACATTTGTATGGATTTTCTCCTGGGAGTATTCTTTCATGTCTAATACGATTTGGCCTCTGATTATATATATGCTCCTCTGTATGAATCTTCTGGTGTTTAATGAGGTTGGATTTCTGACCAAAGCTCTTGCCACAGTCGCAGCATATATACGGTTTTTCTCCCGTGTGGATTCTATAGTGTCTGACAAGGTTGGATCTCTGGCTAAAGTTTTGCCCACATTCTGCACATTTATGTGGCTTCTCTCCTGTGTGCAATCTCTCGTGTATGATGAGATGTGCCCTCCACCTGAAGCTTTTCCCACAGGCTGGACATTTATAAGGTTTCTCTCCCGTGTGGATTCTCTGATGTGCATTAAGGTTCGTCCTCTGGTTGAACCTCTTGCCGCATTCTGAGCATTTATGAGGTTTATCTTTTGTGTGGATGCTCTGGTGTCGGAGAAGGTTACCTCTCCGGGAAAAGATTTTCCCACACTTAAAACATATACATGGGTTTTCTCCTGTGTGGATTTTCTCAAGTTTACTGCAGTTCAACTTCTGGTTGAACTTCTTCCCACAAGCTGACCGTCTGTACAATTTGTCACTTGAGTGCACACTCTGATGTTTGATAAGGTTCGATTTCTGTGTGAAGCTCTTCCCACACTCCAAGCATTTGTATGGCTTCTCTCCTGTGTGGATCCTCTGGTGCCTGACGAGATTGGAGATCTGACTAAAGCTCTGCCCGCAGTCTACACAGAAATGCGGTTTCTCCCCTGTGTGGATTCTCTGATGGATGATAAGGTTTGCACTCCGGCTAAAGCTCTTGCCACAGTCTGTACATGGATAAGGCTTTTCCCCAGTATGGAAACTCTGGTGTCTGATAAAGCTAGTTTCCCAGTTAAAGCTTTTCCCACATTTAAAACACTGATACTTCTTTTCTCCCATGTGGGTTCTCTGGTGCCTATTTAAGTTTGATTTTTGGGTAAAAGCTTTCCCGCACATATTGCACATGTGCCTTCTTTTTCCTCCGCATGTTCCGTCCTGGAATGCAATTTCGTCCAGATTACCACTCTGGCAAAGGATGGGCTTGTTCTTTCTCTTGTCGATTTGTCTCCCCTCGTCCCACCTTGGTCCCTCCGGATTCCCAAAGTTCTCTGCCATGTCTTGAAGCTCAGTTCTTTCCAACGGAACCTCAAACGATGGTCTTTTGGTCTCCCACCCATCACCTGCCGGAACAGAGAGAGAGAAAACCTTGTAATTTTTTTTAAGGAGAGGTGAAACCCGAAAATTAGGAAAGTGGCATATTTGCTGCTCTGGAGAAGCCATAAGAACATAAGAAGAGCCCTGCTGGATCCGACCAGTGGTCCATCTAGTCCAGCATCCTGTTTCACACAGTGGGCAAAGAGAGCCAGTTTGGTGTACTGATTAAGTGCATGGACTCTAATCTGGGAGAACCGGGTTTGATTCCCCACTCCTCCACTTGCACCTGCTGGATGACCTTTGGCAAGCCGTAGTTCTGATAAGAGCTGTTCTTGAAAAAGAGCAGTTTTGACAGAAACTGCTCTTTTTCAAGAACAGCTCTTATCAGAACTTCTCTCAGCCCCACCTACCTCACAGGGTGTCTGTTGTGGGGAGGGAAAGGAGTTTGTAAGCTGCTCTGAGACACCTTTGGGTAGTGAAGGGCGGGGTATAAATCCAATCTCTTCCTCCTCCTCCCAGTTCCTGTGGATGGCCAATAACAGGGCAAAAAGGCCAAAGCCTTCCCCTGATGTTGCCTCCTGGCTCTGGGATTCAGAGGATGACTGTCTCTGAATGTGGAGGTTCCCCTCAGTTACCGTGGCTAGTAGCCATTGATAGACTTATCCTCCATTAACCTATCTAATCCCCTTTTAAAGCTATTTATTCCTGTGGCCATCACTACATCCTCTGGTAGCGAATTCCCACATTTTAACCACTCTCCCTCAGACAGGGGACGATAAGAAGACAACAACATAAGAAAAGCCCTGCTGGATCAGACCAATGGTCCATCTATTCCAGCATCCTGTCTCACACAGTGGCCAATCAGATACCCTGGAGAGTGAAACAAACAGGGCATAGAGGCCAAAGCCTTCCTCTGATGCTGACTCCTGGCACTAGCAGTCACGAGGTTTATTCCCTCTGAACATGGAGGTTCCTTTAAGTCACCATGAACAGTAGCCACTGACAGACCTGTCCTCTATGAATCTGTCCAATCCCCTTTTAAAGCTGTCTGTGCCTGTGGCCGTCACTACATCCTCTGCCAGCAAATTCCACATTTTAATCACTCATTGGGAAACACGGTATTTCCTTGTGTTTGTCCCGAATCTACTGCCCATGAACTTCACTGGAAGCCAAAACAATTCATCCCCTAGTTTAGGTAAAGATTTATACTCCACCTTTTACAATAGTCACTTTTGATGCCTTCTCAAGAGTTACTAAAATCGATCACATTTTTATCCCACTGTTCCTCCAATGAGCACAGGGATTTCTCCTCCGCCTTTTATTTTCAAAACAACCCTGTAAGGTAGGCTGGACAGTGTAACTGACCCAAGGTCACCCAGGGAGCTTCATGGCTGAGCCAGGTATCTGAATGCAAGTCTCTCCAGTCCTACAGTGGCAGGCTAACAACTACCCCACACCACCTCTATAAAGCACTGGGAGAAGGAAACATGGTCCTTGAGCTGTAATGTGTAGTCAGTGCTGGAACTTATAACTTCCTCTATTTATCGTCTGTCTCACTGTTCCTCTAAAGAGCTCAGAACAGCTTGCGGTGTTCTCCCTTTTTCCACTTTATTCTCACAACCTCCCTGCAAGACAGACTAGAGAGGGAGGGGGGAGGAAGGGAGACGGATACAAATCCCCATGCAGGCCTGACCTCAAGCCCGTCACCCTCAACCTAGCCCATCTCACAGGATCGTTGTGAGGGGGGGGAATGGGAGAAGAGACGTGTGTAACACCTTGAGGAAAAGTGGGTTTAAAAATGCAACAGAAGAAGCAAAGAATGGTGCTAGGGCCAGTTGACTTACATGGCTTTCAAAACAGGATGAGAGAAGTTTGATCTATCCGTGGCTACTGGCCAGGTTAGCTTAAATGGAACTTCTGTGTTCAGGTGTGAAAGTTTGCTCCTTTGGTGTAGTGGTCAAGTGTGCGGACTCCATTCTGGGAGAACCGGGTTTGATTCCCCACTCCAGCTTTGCCTCTGGAAGAGGGGGCACCTGACTGGATGACCTTGGGCAAGCCGTAGTTCTGATAAGGGCTGTTCTTGAAAAAGAGCAGTTTGTGTCAGAGCTCTCTCAGCCCCACCTACCTCACAGGGTGTCTGTTGTGGGGAGGGGAAGGGAAAGGAGTTTGTAATCCGCTCTGAGACACCTTTGGGTAGTGAAGGGCGGGGTATAAATCCAATCTCCTCTTCTTCTTTTCTTGTGACGTTTGAGCAGGTCTGGATAAAAAGCATTCCGCTATTGTTGCTTTTGGATTTATTCCCTAGGGGACCAACAGACCTACCTGCAATTTTTGATTAATGTTACTGACAAGTCTGTGGCACCCTTGGAATTCTGAGCAGGGGTAGTGAGCACCTCCCCAAAATGGCTGCCACCGGAACCAGAGCCAGACTCAAAATGGCTGCCACAAGAGGTGAAGCCAAATGGAATGCCTCCCCTCCTCACATCTCCTTGGAGGAAGGAAAGCCTGAGGGAAGCATGGAACCACATACTGACTAGACTAAGGAAAGACCAGAGGCTTAGCAATCCTCCTGATCTTCTCGTGGAAAACCCTTTCATTTGAATGAAGGCAGCCAATAACAAGGCCCGCCTTCCAATGGCCAGCTGGTGCCAGGGAAAGTACTGATGGACGCCTTGTTGGAGAGCCCTGTCACAGAACATCCAAATTTGTATTCCAAAACATGTGGGGCACAGACAATTCTCACCTAGCAAGCCGGCGCCTTCTGAGCCCTCCTGCTTGATTTCTTGGGAGGGATGCCCGTCCACCGTGCCTGACAGAGCCTCGTCTTCCCTTGAGAAACTCATGGCCTCCTCCTCAAATTCTTCCAGAACCTGCAAGGCAAGAAATGAGACGCACGGAAGGTAGACAGTGTCATGGCCTGGCCCACAGATCTCTAGGACAGTGTCTGTGAGCAGGATGGCCCCACCCTGTAAGTCTCGTTGTAGCCAAAACCCACCGAACGTGGACTGTTAAGGGGGAAGTCTCTAGTCCTCTTTGAGGAGAAAGACGGTTTGTCAGCTCAAGCCTGGCTCGGGTCCCGTGGGAGAGAGCTATACCACACCAGCCCCCCAACTGCTGAAACTTGTTCATTCCGTGACTGAAGGGTCAACAGGCCCAAATGGGGGGGCCAGTCAACAGCATGCGAGAAAGCTTGGCATAGCGGACAGAATGCTGGACTAGGACCCTGGGAGATCCGGGTTCAAATCCCCACTTCTAACACAGACGCCTGCTGGGTGATCATCACAAACTCTTAGCCTGGCCTACCCCACAGGGTTGTTGCTGTGAGAGAGCAGAGGAGGGGGGGGGAACATGTTCTAAGCCAGTTTTAGCCTCAACTGGGTGGAAAAGAGGGATATGAATAAATAAATGCAATTTTATTTCCTCAGTTTTTTTCTCAATATGTTGAAAAATCTCAAATTTTGTCAGTTTCCCTAGAGCTTTGGGTTAGGTAATGGGGCTCCGGGGAAAACCAAGCCCTGCTCAGGCTACCTGAGGCTGTTTTGTGGGGCTGAGCGAAAAGGTGTTGGCGGTCTTTCATGGCACCCCCCACTTTGGGCAGCTCCTGTAAAACGAGCAGAAAAATTCATCCATCCAGACTGTTGGCCAAATATCCTGCTCAGACCCTGATTGGCATCTGTGACATCACCGTGCAGCAGAATCCGATTGGCTCTGTAGCATCATCAGGAACAGAGAGCCTGCCTCCTGTCCCCAATCTGATTGGGCTTCATTACTGCTATTCATTTTTATCCCGCCCTTCCTTCAGGGAACTCTGGGCATCACGCTTGCAGGCTTGTCCCAGTTTGTGTTCACAATAACCGTGTGAGATAGATTAGGTGGAGTGAGTCTAACTCACTCAGTTGGCAAGTAGAGAGTCCAGGACTAACCAGGCCAAGGCACAGAACAAGTACGCTGTGCCAGGTCACTTGTGATCACATCCCGAAGCCGTATTGGGATATACAGCAATAGGATCTCCGCCAGCGTGATCCCTGACTGGCTGGGACCACCTTAAAAAGAATACCATTTAAGAAGACAAAGAAATAACTGTTGCTGAAGGGGCAGTTCAGTGGCAGAACCAGCAGCAACTAATCACGAGTGGTGAACATAAGCAAAAGGTGGTTTCGTACAACTTTTCTACCTGCTGCCTTTTTATCTTACCTGTCTTCTGAGAAGCTCAGGCATGGTATAAATGATCCTCCCCTTTTCTGTGTTACCCTCACAACAACAAAAAAAGGGGAGGGGAACGTAATCCAAAGAAGATCAGAATGTATAGGCCCAAATCAATGCTCCCTCTAAGCTGTGGAGTCTTGTGAGCAAAACTTCTACTTTGTGAGCTACTGGCTTTAAAGTTGTGAGCGAGCGATTGGGCTGCTGCATAACTTAGTTTGCTCTGGGCCCTTCCTGAGCTGAGACAAAAATGTGTGAGCCAGAGGCTAAAAAACTGTGAGCTAGCTCACACAAACTCAGCTTAGAGGGAACACTGGGCCCAATAATTCTAGAGTCAGATGGGTAGCTGTGTTGGTCTGAAACAACAGAACAACATCTCAGCCTAGTGGCAACTTTAAGACCAATGAAGTTTAATTCTGGGTATAAGCTTTTGTGGGCATGCACACTTCAGATAGACAAACAACCCAGGATCACAGTGTAAAAGGACAGAAACTGAACAGCAACAGGACCAGACCTTCTCCTGACGTTGCCTCCCAGATCTGGGCACAGGGGCTGAGGCCTTCTGCTGTTGTTCCCTCCTGGCACTGGGCAGAGAGGCTGAGGCCTTCTGCTGATTTTCCCTCCTGGCACTGGGCAGAGAGGCTGAGGCCTTCTGCTGATTTTCCCTCCTGGCACTGGGCAGAGAGGCTGAGGCCTTCTGCTGATTTCCCCTCCTGGCACTGGGCAGAGAGGCTGAGGCCTTCTGCTGATTTTCCCTCCTGGCACTGGGGTTCACAGGCCGACTGCCTCTGAATATGAAGGTTCTCTTTTGTCACTATGGCTAGTGGCCACACTGATAAGACGCATCCTCCATGCACCTATCTAATCCCCCTTTACAGCTGTCTATGCCTCTGGCCATCTCTACATCCTCTGGCAGCAAATTCCGCAGTTGAAGCACTCACTGTATAAAGAAGTATTTCCTTTTGTGTGTCCTGAATTTACCACCCATCAGCTTCACTGGATGCCCCCGAGTTCTAGCATTTCGCAACAGGGGGAAAAATTCTGTCTGTCCACTCTTTCTACTCCATGCTTAATTTTGTAAATCTCAACCATTTCCCCCCTTAGCCCTAGTTTTCCTAGACCGGAAAGTCACAGAAATCTTCAGTCTTTCTCCAAAGGAAAAGTGCTCCGACCCCCTTGTAATCTTGCCTGCCCTCTCCTGTACTCCTTCGGATCCAAGAGACACAAAACGAGCTCACCTCCTGCTTCCACTGCTCAGCTTCCTGCTGCCGCAGCAGGAAGTCTTCCGCCAGGGCCACCGCTTCAGCGAAGGTCTCTGGGCTGCCTTCCCTCACCCAGCTCTGGATCTCCTCGGGCAAAGTGGCCAGGAACTGCTCCAAGAGGATCAGGTCTACGATCTGCTCCTTGGTGCGCATCTCGGGCTTCAGCCACCTCAGGCAGAGCTTGCGGAGCTGAAGGCCAACCTCCCGAGGCCCCGAGGCCTCCTGGTAGCAGAACCAGCGGAAGCGCTGCCGCCACATCTCTGTGCTGAGGGCCTGGTCACCCGGAGCCTCACCCTTCACGTCCCCGTGATCTGCTTTCCCTCCAGTCACATCAACTTTTGGGGATCCTTCCCTCAGGTCTGGAAGAAGTCCACTTGTCGCCTCTGGCATGGTGGACGTTTCCGGGGGAACCAGGAAGGTGACCCCTGGGAGCTGCGGGGGGCCCCATCCCGAATAAGGAGCCTGGACCGTCCTCTGAAATTCCTGCCACTGGGCTTCCCAGCACTGCGATAACAACCTGTCATCTGTCTCCCGTTCAGACTGCTTTGCTGTCGCCCAGCTCAGACACTCTCCGACGGCTCCAACCTGGGAAACGTGAGGGGCTTTCCTGGATCTTCTCGGACCCTCAGACGGAGAGTTGCCGAGTGGGTCTAGGTCCTCCATTTTCACTCCCTTCTCTATCGTGACTTCAAGGCCCGCCAAGGTCACTTCTCGCTCGGCGGCCATTCCTTGCTTCGCTCAGTTCAAGCCTCTCCCTTCCCGCACAGGCGGCAAAACGTCTGCCCGCCGAGGCTCAGGCCATTCTGACTGGTGGCTCTGACAGCATTCCAAAGTTGTCGCAGACCCTGGGCAAATCCGGAGCTCCCCAGAGCTTGGCGGTGTTCCCCGGCCTTCCCTCGATCGAGAAGATGTCTGGATCCCTGGAGAGTAAAGACACAAACCAAATGGAAAACTCAATGGCCAAGGACCCCTCTGATTTTTTCTCCTGCTGAGCAGAGCAGTTCACATCCTGGGCAGAACAGAACTGCTGTCATCTTAAAATGGGCAACGGGCAGTGCAAGACTGAGGGGGGCTTCCCGTGTTAATGAGCGGTTGCTCACGCACACAGCTTAGAGGGATGCTGGCCCTAGTACAAAAACCCATGGTTCCCACTGCTTGGAACCACTTCGGCTCCAGCAGTGAATTACTCCCTGTCCAGTATTACAGAAGGAGAGCGGAAGCTGCTATGTGGGCACAATGGCTCAGATACTCAAGAAAAAGAGGAGGAGAAGGAGGAGGAGGAGGAGATTGGATTTATACTCCGTCCTTCACTCGGAGTCTCAGAGCAGCTTACAAAATCCTTCCCTTCCCCACAACAGGCCCCCTGTGAGGTAGGTGGGGCAGAGAGCTCTGACAGAAACTGCTCTTTTCCAAGAACAGCTGTGCCAGAACGATGGCTTGTCCAAGGTCATCCAGCAGCTGTGAGTGGAGTGGGGAATCAAAGCCAGTTCTCCCAGATTAGAGTCTGCACACTTAACCACTATACCAAACTGACTCCCGCCCCATATACTCAAACCTGGGATTTGGTGACCAGGTAAGATAAGGCTCTGAAGAAGACTAGTTGGTTTTTATACCCTGATTTTCTCTACCCAAAGGAGTCTCAAAGCGGCTTACAATCACCTTCCAGTTAGTGTATAAGCCAATTGGTGTAGTGGTTAAGAGTGGCAGACTCTACTCTGGAGAACTGGGTTTGAGCCAGTTTGGTGTAGTGGCTAAGTGCACGGACTCTAATCTGGGAGAACCGGGTTTGATTCCCCACTCCTCCACTTGCACCTGCTGATGTGACCTTGGGTCAGTCACAAGCTCTGGCACAGCTGTCCTTGGAAAAGAGCAGTTTGTGTCAGAGTTCTCTCAGCCCCACCCACCTCACAGGGTGTCTGTTGTGGGGAGGGGAAGGGAAAGGAGTCTGAGACTCCAAGTGAAGGGCGGGGTATACATCCAATCTCCTCTTCTCTTCTTCTACTCTGGAGAACTGGGTTTGATTCCCCACTCCTCCACATGAAGCCAGCTGGGTGACCTTGGGCCAGTTGCAGTTCCTTCAGAGCTATTCTCTCAGGTGCAGTTTCTGTCAGAGCTCTCTCAGCCCCACCTACCTCACAGGGTGTCTGTTGTGGGGAGGGGAAGAAGACTGTAAGCCACTCTGAGACTCCTTTGGGCAGTGAAGGGTGGGGTATAAAAACCAACTCTTCTTCCCTTCCTCTCCCCACAACAGGCACCTTTGTGAAGCAGGTGGGGCTGAGAGAGTTCTGAGAGAACAGTGACTGTCCCAAGGTCACCCAGCTGGCTTCATGTGGAGGAGTGGAGAATCAAACATGGTTCTCTAGATTAGCGTCTACCACTCTTAACCACTATGCCGTGCTGGCTCTCTCGCCACCATCGCCCTGGTGGAATCTCAGCCACAAACTCAGAGAGGCCTTAGACTAGAGGGGTCCCTAGTAGAGTGCCTATGGGTGCCATGTTGCCCCTCAAGACTTTCTCTGATGCCCAAGTGATTGTAGAGACTGGGCCAGGCCAGGTGGAGCTTTTGCCCAGCAGGGCTTCTTACTGGCCCTCGGAGGTGTGACTAGCTGTGCAGACTTAAAAACAAAGAGACATCGCTTTGGCGACAGCTGCCACAACACCACAAGGATCTTCACAGCATGACCAATACCATTTGAGGAAGTTCTACCCCATCTTGCACTGACACTTTGTTGTTGTACTGTATTGTTTTATGGTTTTAGACGGTTTTATCTGTTTTAATTCTGGCACTTGTGCCTCGTTGTTAGCCGCCCTGAGCCTTCGGGGAGGGCGGGATATAAATCCAAAAATAAATAAATACATAAATGACCGAAGGAAAGATGTGTATAAGTGAGAAAACACTTTTAAACAATGTGTCCCTTTAAAAAAGCTTGCTGTTAAGCAAAACTTCTGCTTGAAATGTTGAGGAGTTACTACCAGAGTTCTCCCTGACATTTGGCTCTGCCTCTTGTGGCAGCCAATTTTTGTTTAGCTCCGCCTCTTCCAGCAGCCATTTTGTGGTTATGCCCACCATGCTGTGTTAGGATTCCGAAGGTGCCCACAGACCCAAAAGGTTTGGGCGGCCCTGCCTTAGACAAAGTCTCTCAGCCTCAACACACACTCCCCACTACCATAATATGAAGATAATCCTAATGGCCTGCCTTACGGGGATATTATCAAGATCATAAGAAAATTATGTTTAAAGTGCTTGGAAAGTGCTATAGAAATGCCAGGTTTTTATTATTATGTTCCCTGTTGTGTGGCAGTCTTGTCACACATGAAATTTCTTTTTCTATACAGGAGGTACTTTATTGAAGACATTTGTAGCCTGCCTGCCTCCAAACCAGGGACTCGTGGCATGCTTCTCACTCTGAAGCTGGTCTCCCTACCACTGCCAAACTCCAATCTCTTCCCAGTGCCAAATCTCATTCTCAAAGCACTGACAGCCCCTTCTTCCAACCATACAATCATACACATACGTACACATACCTTATCGACCCACTCTGAGGGCATAGCTGGGCACAGAGTATTGCCACGGGTCTCAGAGGGTTTGCTGTGGGTCATAAGAACATAAGCCCTGCTGGATCACCTCAGTGGTCCACCTAGTCCAGCATCCTGCCTCACACAGTGGCCAACCAGTTCCTCTGGACGGCCAACAACAGGGCATAGAGGCCGAGGCCTTCCCTGGATGTTGCCTCCGGCCTCTGGATGTGGAGGTTCCCCTCAGTCACTGTGGCTAGCAGCCATTGATAGACTTATCCTCCCTGAATCTATCTAATCCCCTTTTAAAGCTGTTTATTCCTGTGGCCATCACTACAGAAGAGAAGGGACTGCCCTGCTGGCATTTTTTCCTGCTCCACTCTACCCTCCTCAAACTCTAAGGGTGATCATTACGTCTGCCACCATGCAAGTTTTAACCTACAGGAGAGGGAACACCTCGGCCGTTCTCCCTTCTTGACAGGATTATTCAACACACATAAATCTCTGAGGGGTTTAGGGGGCTAATAGTGCAGACCTCAAAACCTTTTCCCCAGGAGGAGGCCCCACTGAATAGACCTGAGTAGGCCTCTTGTCCACTTTGGGTTGCCCTCTTACGCACTCAACTTGATAGTCCAGCTCAAGGTGGTGAAGTTATAAAACAGACTCTCAAAATAACATATAACCCCTAAGATCAAGATGGGTAGCTGTGATAGTCTGTCTATAGCAGTAGAAAAGAGCAAGAGCCCAGTAGTACCTTAAGGACTAACAAAATTTGTGGCAGGGGAGGAACGTTCATGAGTCACCACTCGCTTCTTCAGATGCCCACATACTTGGAGGACCATATGGTCCTTCAAATATGCACGTATCTGGAAAACTGAGCAATGACTCACGAAAGCTCATTCCCTGCCACAACTTTTGTTAGTCTTTAAGGTGCTCCTGGACTCTTGCTCTTTTCTGCTGATATCATCCCTAAGTCATCTAGCTACTATCAGTTGAAAACACACAAGGCTGCCTTATACTGATTCAGACACTTTGTCCATCGAGGTCATTATTATCTAAGACTGGCAGGAGCTCTCCAGGGTCTCAGGCTAAGGTCTTTCCCATCATTGACTACCTGAACTGGAGATCCCTGGGATTGTACTTGGGACCTTCTGCATGCCAAGCAGATGCTCTACCATGGAGCCACGGTCTCTTCCCTGTTATCATACTGTTTTAGGCACCAGGCAAAACCTTCTTTAAAACCCAGGCTTTTATTTATTGGCTTTATGTACAGCCTGCTTTTCTTGCTGAGATGCAAGGCAGATTACAGAAACATTAATAATAATTTATTTCTTTATTTACTTCATTTATATCACACTTTTCTCCCTAGAGGGGACCCAAGTGGCTTATATAATTCTTCTCTCCTCCATTTTATCCTCACAACAACCCTGTGAGGTAGATTGGGCTGAGTGTCCTTGACTAGCCCAAGGTCACCCAGTATATTTCCCTGGAGGAGTGGGGATTCGAACCTGGGACTCCCAGATCCTAGTGTGACACTCCAGCCATGGCATCACAGTGGCTTTATCTTATTGGCTGCATTAGGGCCTGCTTCTGACCTGAGATTTGGTTTAAGGATTTATTGTTACAATGCTCAGTGGTTGTTTTAGGTTGTCTTTGTGCCTGTGGATTTTTTGGGATTATTTTATTTTATTTGATTTATATACTGCCCTCCCCTCAATTTGGGGCTCAGGGCAGTTGACAACTATATTTTGTTGTTCAGTCGCACAGTCGAGTCCAACTCTTTGCGACCCCATGGACCAGATCCCGCCAGGCCCTCCTGTCTTCCGCCATCCTCTGAAGTTGGCTCAATTTCATGTTCGTTGCATCTATGACCCAGATAATGAAATACTTTGGCCACCCAATGAGAAGGGAGCGCTCGCTGGAGAAGACCCTGATGCTGGGAAAGATTGAAGGTCAAAGAAGACGGGGACGGCAAAGGATGAGATGGTTAGACAGCTATATACAATTCCAATAAATACGACGCACACACAGAATAAAATTTAAAAACAGCAAAAGTAGTGATATCAAACTAAAATAATTTAGAGAGATAATGTATACGTTTTTTAAAAAAATTATTTTGAGGTATTTTTTTAAAACTTGGAGGAGTACTCTGAAGAAATGGCATATAAATTCCCCAAGTAAACAAGTAATAAATAAGATTTCTATCCCTC